GGGCAGGGGCTGGAGGCTGAATCAATCGTGACTATGCAATGATGCCCTCAAAAACCCAGGAGAACATATCTCTTTCTTGCCTGCTGCTTTTCTGTCAGAGAACCATGCAACTCTGGGGACCCAGAAAGCTTCCATGTGCCACTGAGCCAGGCCCCAACCTCCACTAGGATAGAAGCTCCCTCATTTGGGACCTTGTCCTATGTCTCTTTTCATCTGGCTGTTAACTTGTATCCTTTACCGTATCCTTTCTTAAAATGGGAAATGTAAGTATTTTCCTGAGTTCTGTGAGCTGCTCTAGCAAATTAATTGAACCTAAGGGGAAGGTTATTGGAACTTCCAATCTGTACCCAGTTGGTCAGAAGAACAGCTAACTGCCTGGGGCTTTTGACTGGGTCTAGACTTGGGGGGTGGAGGGCAATCTTGTGGGACGGAGCCCTTAACCCGGGAATCTGGTGCTGCCTCCAGGCAGATAGCATCGGAATTGAGTTGAGCTCTCAGACACCCTCCTGGTAAGTGAGAATTGCTTGTGTAGTATGTGGGAAGACCTCCTTACACACACACACACACACACGTGCGCGCGACACACACTGGAATTGTGTCCAGGAACCCAAAAGGAGTTGTACTACTGCTGTGTGTATATTACTGTTGTATATGAAAAAGAAAAAAATGCAAGTACATTCATGAATTTGGGGGCATAAAAGCCCTGAGACTAGGGGAAAATAGAAAGCTGAAGTGTTTTCCTTAATTAAGTGAAGGAAAAGGGTTTTTGGGGCAGTGGGAACAAGAATGGATGAAGTGTGACAAGGAGATTGGAGAAGGGGAAATGTCAGACCAGAAGAGACCAGAGGCTCATAGTGTCATGCAGACAGAGTCAGCCAGGAAATATTCCTGGTGGCAGAGGAAGGCAATGCTTATGTTAATAAGAAAAACCACATAAATAATAGAAGTTTAGGTACATTATTTAAAACCATAAAGTAATCAAGGAAAGAATATAAAATTAAATGACACTGGCCAATGGAGAGAAGAGAGGGAAAGTCATTTAAAGTTGGGGCCCCCCTATCAGTAAACCAAGATTTAACACCTAACCCAATTGCAATTTGAACCCTCTCAGGAATGTAACTGTTAGCCAGCCAAACTGGAATTTCCTGGACACCCTTTCGTTCTAAGGAGGGGAACCTTGCCTAAATAATGCACTCCTTGCTAATAAATTCCTTTCTTTTTCTTAATGCTCTCTCTGTGCCTTTAAAAACTTTTCCTTGTCTGCAGCTCATTAGAGCACCCCTCTGCTTGCTAGATGGGATGCTGCCTGTTTCATGAATCTTTTAACAGGGCAAACTACATACTCAAATTTACATAGTTGAATTTTGTTGAACAGATTTGGTGGCAGCATCAGGACCAAAATCAAACTTCTCATGGCATTTGGGGACAATGAGGAACACAGGCTTGGCACTGCATAAACCCTGTGAGTTCACTGTCTTTCTCACCCTTTCCAAGGGCTGCTGGGTTCATCTCAGTTGAGCTCCCCATCTAATTGGCTTTCTCATCCAGGGTTAAGGGTCAGTCTACACAGACAGGAGGCTCTAACAGAGAGAGCCAGTCCTTAGCCCTTGGTTCAGTCTACAATTCCCAGGTATTTGGAATGGAATCTCTTTCCCAAATCAGTCCACAGTCCCTGTTGGCTGGAGTCAGCTGGCTCAGCCCATGCTGGGAACTGCTGGGGATGCCTGCATGGGTTTCTTGCTGCCAATCTGCAGTAACTTCTACACTCTGGTCTTTGATTCCAGTCTACTGGTGGCAGCTGCGGTTCTCCGTTTGGGATCCATCCACAGTCCCCATTCTTTGAGGTTTGCTGCTTTGATTCTTTCCCCAGCCACCAGGTCTGTGGTTACTGCTGGTGGCCACAGTTCCTCTTCCTCCACACTACAAGTTTTTATTAATGTATACATGAGGTAAGGGCTTAGAAAAAAGACTAAGTAATAAATAATAATAAAATAGAACCCTTAAAACCCAGAGTTAAATGCTTCAGTTTCTGGCTACCTGCTATGTTATGTCTAAAAGCTATGGTCCTGGAAGTGGTGAACCTTTACAGAATTGGCAAAATTTCACTAAAAGCAACCTAGAATTGCAATGGTTGTTATAAGGAATGTTCCAATTAGAAAAAAATCATTTAAGAAATGCATGTAAAAGCAAAGGTTTCAAAAGTCCAAAAATGCCCTCATTGAGTTTTGATACAAAAAGCTGATAAATTTTTTTTAAATATAAGAGGTACCTAATACTTCTGTAATTCTCACAATTTTCCTGTATTTTCCTTCATTTGAGCACTCAGTCTAGTTATCCTCTATCTAAGCTGCTTTTACATGATCACAAACTGTCTTGCCAGTGGATTTCAGCCCTGGGCAAGTTCACTGTGGATTCAGTGTGACCAAAGAAATGACAGTAGAATGTTCTTGGGGTGAAAAGGTTTATACCCAACTTGTTATCCCGTGGTAGGTCGAGCACTAGATTTACGTCTGTAAACCTCCACTGTCTCTGCCCCCATCCAGAGAACCAGGCAGGACTCTTTATATAGAGTCAATAAGGACACATTGCCCACACATGTGCAGTGAGCTAGCCAACCAGGGCCAGCTGAGAATCCTGCCACAGGAACCTTCACTTTATCCACAACATGATCACAAACAAAAGTCTGCTAAGTTAATGACCTTATAGACACCCCCATATCTACCTTTGAAGGAAGGTTCTTACGCCCCTCCCAGAGTTGGCAAGACTCTAAGGGATTTTGTGATAAACTGTTGTTATTTCCTTGAATAGCCAGGGGAAAACTAAAATCTAAATAAATATTCCAACATAGATGGATGAGTATATCTGTCCTTTAACATCCAGGCTACAACCGGATTCTTTGAGAAATTAAAAGCGACTATGCTCATATTGCAAATCTTTGCAGAATTAGAAATGCAGCCCTAGTGGCCATTTAAAGTTCACCTACCCTTTTCAATCCCCAAGCCTCCCAGGACTACAAAGTGTTCTCCAAATATTGGGAATTATCCTACTTATAATAACCTTAAAAATCTCCCTGGCACTTTGTAGTCTCTCAAAAGCCTTAAATGCATGTTTACAGCCTCTAACCACGACACCAATGGTCTCCCCGAGACTGGAACATCAGAAAAAGAACAAAGAGGAAGACTGATTCAAAAACTGTGAACCTCAAGTCATAACTTGACTATCTCGGAGATGAAACAAAGCATCGTGATTTGTGAATACCGAAAACAAAGGATGAACAGAAGCTGGGGACCTACAGAACAGGAGCTGAGAGCGGCGTTAACGCCTTACATTGTAATCACATATCTCAATTCAGCTGAGAGTCTGATCAAAGGGGGGAACTGTTGAGAAGAAAAACCACAGGGGCATAACCGAGTCACTTAAAATTAAGGCTCCCTTGTTGATGAACCGAGATTTAACACCTAACCGAACTGCAGTTTCAACCCTCTCAGGAATGCAACCTTGAATCAGCCAAGCTGGAATTTTCTGGAAGTAGAGCCCTGGGAGACCCTTCCCTTGCAGGAGGGTGACCTTACCTAAATAATGCTCCTTGCTACTAAATTCCTTTTTTTTTTTTTAATGGTCTCCCTCTCTGGGCTTTAAAAAAAAAAACTTTCCTTTTCTGTTGCTCTTTGGAGTTTCCCTCTGCCTGCTAGATGGGATGCTGCCTGGTCAATGGATTGTTTAATAAAGCCAGTTAGATATTCAGATTTCCTTTTTAAATTTTGTGTAACAGCCTTTTAAGATCAGAGTCATGTAATATTCAAAGTGGAAGCCCAGTCTTGTGTCGCCAGCCATGTGTCCTGCTAACTCTCAAGCTTTAGTTGAAGTTTGCTGCATAGCTCTCTTGTGTGAGTGCTGTGTTGAAGAAATCAAGGGGAAGAGACGATGTCCTCTATTATTGATCAAAATGCAGTGGAGAACCAGGGGCCAGCCACAGCAGGTAAGCAAGCATGAGAGCAAATGAGATTTCAGAGGAGGCAAAAATTTTGGAAGAGGTGACTTCCAGAAAGATAAGGTTCCCAAGAATAGCCAGAGATGTAAGAGGGACACATGTGGGATAATCACTGAGGAGCCAGCCCACCTGGCCTCCTGAGATCATTTCCCCACTTCTCTGCACCCCTCTGCAGGTTTCTGTGTGCTTGGATTTCTCACGATCAGACCTCCTCTGCTGGACAGACTCCCCTCAGGCTGCCTGATAGTTTTGTTCTCACAGAGGGAAAGCTGGATGGCCCTCCACCAATAATTCACTGGCACGACAGAATGAAAACCCAGTTTCTTTACCTGCAATTGGGACAAAATTTAAACCAATTTGTAGTCCCAAGTTCCCTCTTGGGACAAGGCTAAGCCACCCTCTGTAGACCTGCCCAGCGGCCCTGACCCCTGGCCCGCCTTGTCCACCTGTTTCCTTTTCCCGTTTCTCCTTGGGGCATTTCCTTCATCAGTTACTTGCACATGAATCTTCTTGTCAGGGTCTGTTTTGGGGGAATCCAATCTAAGAGGGATACAAAGGCCATTTTAATTAAAATATTGAATAAAAGAGTTGGGATACTTGGGAATTCCCGAGAGGACTACTTGGGTTACACACAGATCAGCCTTTTGAAGAATTTCAAGTTGGTTGTTATTGGGTGGATGGGCTGTCAAGCAAACCACATGTCCCTAAAGTATAAAGAGAAAGTGAGAGGTTCTAGGGAAATACTGGATGTCAAATAGGAAGAAAAAGGAGAAGACTAACAGGGAGATGTGATGTTTGACCTGGCACCAGAGGGTGAGTAGGAAGTGAAAAAGTAGGGTAAGGGTGCCTCAGACAAGGCACAGGTGTATATTTTCAAAGACCACGTATACCCTGAGATAGATGATAACAGAAAAGGAAGTTAATCAGAGAAACACAGGTAGTGATTTGTATGCGGCACTAACTTTTCATTATCCAGGAATCAAAGTGAACACAAAGAGATTGGATTTTTGACAAGTGATTATTTATTTCTGCTGTTCCACCAAATTCAGGAACACAGACGCTTAAGCTGAGTTAAGATATAAATCAAAAGTTTCACATTCTCTGTGGCACTAAGAATATGAACCGACATGCCCAACACAGACACTGCTTTCAGCAAATAACTACTTAAGGAACAGTACAGTTCTTAATGAGAGAACTGTACCTAATTCTCCATCTTGGGGGGTTCAGGGGAATTAGATGTGCTGATTCCTAACTGGCAGTCCTCCTCAAGTCTCTCTCTTGCCCAGTTGTCCAATCTCCAGAGCCAGCTTGTACAACTCCAGGGCCAGTTTCATGGCCTCCGGGCTTGGGAGACGCTGCCTGAGTTTTCTGCCCGCTAGCACCTGCTCACAGCCCTTATGGGTGTCCTAAAGGAGAGAAAGGGATGAATTTTGAGAGGCTTCTTTCCAAACCGTGAAAGTGTCAAGATTCCTTCAGGATACCTCACGGATGACAGCAAAATTCAAGTATCAAGACACCCCTCAGGACTGAGAAAAGAAATGAAAAGATCATTTTGTGACTCAGCAGCGTTCCGCCTCTGGCACTGCGCTCAGGCAGCAACGAGGACCTGCCGGAGCAGGGAAGGATGGTGCTGCAGAACACACCGCGGCGCCCCGGCAGGGACACCCGAGCACTAGATCTGGTGGACACGCAAGAGCATGGCTTTTGCAGTAGGAAATACAGAGCTAGGGGCCGGGTCACCTGCATCTATGGACCCCTCCCCTCCCGGAGCTTGGCTCCTCCCTGCTGTAGAGAGAGTTAGACGTTGTCTAAACAAGCTCGCTGAGTGTTTTGTGGATGAAGGTGCTGATTCCAAAAGTGATTCAAACGACTCAGAAATGAATCCTGACAAAAGCCAGATCTCCATCTTGGCTGGCAGTGCTTTGGGACAGGTTCCCGTTTTTAGAATGTGATAGGACACCCTGAACTGTGTGCCACTTACCCACTCACATGTGGGCACCCCTGGGTACCAGGTTCCATTCTCTGAGCAGATGATACTTGGAGAGCCAACCACACGATATCCAGAGTCACACTGGACAGCGGCATTTTCAGGATCAACATACTTGTCTTTATTCCCAGACAGATTCCCATTTTCTATCTTTGGTTTCAGACACAGAGCTGTAATGGAAACACAGTTTTGATCATTCTGTGATTCTCAGAATTAGGTCTTACAATAGTGAATATTGAGGGGTGAAAAATACTGATTGTGAATTATGATTGTACACTGAGAGTTTTTCTTTACCTCCACTTACAGCATGATTATAACAATAAAATTAGTAATAATTATCATGGCATTGTAAATACTACTATCAACATGAAATGCTATTATTATCTCTATTTTGCTAGAAAGAAAAAATAGAAGCAGGTAGTTTATGTGATTTGTCTAAGGTTACACAGTTTTTAGGTGGCATGGCTATGATACAAACCCTGGTATTGTGGTCCTAAAATCTGAGTTTTCAAAACTACTACATCTCAAAACCTCACTCATCTCATGACCAAAGGTATGGAGTTTTTATTCTCATCTCCTTGATATCTTCCTGGTTGAATGGAGACAATGATGGGTCATTTGCCCCTTGAGTTGCTGTTAGCAATGTGATTGAAAAAGGCACCCCTAATCTAAGTGGTCAACCAGAAATCTCCTATCAGGTCAATTTCATTAAGAGAAGGTGATGGCATGCATGAGATACTTTAAGGATTTTGGAAGTTATCCATAAGAGTCATCATTCAAATTTAAGCAGGTGCTCATTAAAATTTTGCTAAATCCTCACCAATATTCTCAACTTAAAAATTGCTATCTCTAAATGAAGACAAAGAACTATATGTACATTGATATTTGAGTTATGATAACAGTGTAGAAACTGCAGTCCATTTAATAACTAGTGCATGGTGCATTGATCACCCATTGGGGAAAAACAAACCCTGATCTCTACTTTCCACCATAAATACATAGGAATTCCAAGTGGGTTGCAGATGTCAATGTGAAGGCAAAACAATCAAGCTCTGGAAGATGATATAAAATATTTGTGTTGTCTTATTGCAGGCAAATATTTTTTAAACAGGACACAAAAGTCTCTAACATCAAGGAAAAGATTGACAGAATGAACTAAGGTGGAATTTAGAACATTAGTTTATCAAAACTGTAACATTCACACACTACTGGTGGAAGTGTAAATTGTTATAACCACTTTTGAACAAAATTCAGCATCCCCTACTGAAGGTGAACATGTGCACACTCCATGAAGGAGTAATTGTGCTCCTGAGTTTATCCTTAACAGAAACACTTATACCAAGAGATATGCATAAGAACTATAGTCCTGAGTTTATTCTTAATAGAAACATTTGTACCAAGAGATATGCATAAGAATGTTCATAAAAGCATTATTCATAGCATCCTAAAACATGAAAAACTCAAACTTTGTAAGACACATCAAATGTGGTATATGCATCTGAAGAACTATTATAAAGCAATGAAAATAAACTACCACTACCTGTAAGACATGATCGTCCAAAATGTAATGTTGAAGAAAGAAGCTAAGCACTAAAGAATACCTGTATAATTTCCTTTATACAGAGTTAAGGGGTTGGCGACAGTAACCGATGGTGTCAGAATAGTGACCTCTTTTGGGGTGGAGTTGGGAGTAACTGAGAGGACATGTGAAGCACTTCTGGGGTGCTGGTAATCATAATGCTTCTCACCATAGGAGAGAGTTTCCTGGTAGGTTCACATTGTGATATTTGTTCACCTGTACACCTAAGATTTGTACATAGTTCTGTAGTATGTTACATTTAAATTAAAACTTTTATTAAAAGGAGCAGAAAGTGGCCTTCTAGATGACCTCTGACAATATACACATTGGTAACACATGATCTCAAGAGTGATAAACTGGGTGAAACTAGATAAAACTGGAGTGATGGAAGTTTAAAGTTTTTTAAACTTTTCAGATATAATACCATAGGCAAATATTAACTCCACAAAATGAATATATAAATCAACTACAAAATTCTAAGCACCACCTCTGACTGGGAGGACTCTACTATCAGAACTTTCATGGAGCTCCTACTTTCTTACCAAGGGCCGTCAGTAAAGTTGGAGTTGCCTTTACATTTAGGAGCTGGAGACAGTGTGAATTTCTGCAGGTGATTTTAGCCTCTCCAACCAGAACAAATCCTCATCACATTCACACTTCACCACAGTAGTAAAGGATAAAAATGAACCCACATCTTCACAGGATCCATAAGCAAAGCTGGGAAATATTCTGCAATCTTGAGTGGTGAAAAAGAAGGGTGGAAAAGAATGAGCTAGAGTTTAATTATCCACCAATTCAGAGTGAGGGACTCTTCCCATTTTATAGGACTTGTTATTAACTCACACTGCTGAGGTATATATCATTTCCTTGACCAAATCACTGGGAGCGATTTATTGAGCTCTTAACCACTTGTTAAACACTGTGTTAATCATTTTATATATGTTATACCATTTATTCTCACATTAATTCTCTAAGGTAGTATGGCCATCATACCCATTCTAGAGAAAAGGAAACACAACTTAGAGGGGCCACATTCTACAGAAGTTCACAGCTGCAGAGTGCCAGTAACATACATCAAAGTTAGGGATTAAATTCAGTTGATTAAGTCAGTTGGTTGTGTCAGTTCAAAATCCATTGGTACTTCCCGGAATATTGCTGTTTTCTGCTCTCTGTGGTGATCATTGCATATGTGTTTTATATGGCATCATTGGATGTTTAAAGGCCTTTAAATGGAAGTTTGGCTGAAGAACAGCCAAAGTAACCCTTCTTCTTACTTACAAAGTCAATAATAGCTCCATATAACTGATGAAGTAGGTGGTTCAGAACCAGTTAGAAAACTCTTTAACTCCCTCCCCCAAACCAAAGACATTGAAATGTCAGTAGGCAGAACCGGAAAGGGCGATCCAGGTCAGACCTGGCAGGCATTAAACACCATTTCAGAGGGTTAGGGCCATGGATCATTGGAAGATGTGAGGACTAGAAAAAAAGGGGAAGAAAAGCAAACAGTAAGAAGCAATGGAAAGTTTATTGACAAGCTTGCTAAGGGCTTCCTCTACCACTTTAGACTCCAAGAGGGGCAACCGGAGATGAAATGGGGGCACTGAAATTCCCCTGAGCATAAAGTTCTTTAACCTGCACTGACTCTATAACCTAAGTTAATACTGTCCCTCAATAATTTTCATGCATCTGAAGTGAAAAATCATCTTCCAAATATAGACACTTCCTTAATAAATCCATGCTCCTCCCCTCACCATTCTCAGTGATGAAGAAAGCATGGCTTCCAGATCTTTAAATTAATAGGCTAGCTCACACAAGATCTTTCAGCTGTTATTTTAGTGCCAGGATTTTCCCTCTAAGCCATCCCAAATCCTCCATTTGATGCCAAGATAGCTCATTGCAGGCAATATGTTTAAAAATATTTTAAATTTATTATGAAAATTAATTCTTTCAGATAAAAAAATAATGTGAATTAACAAAAGAGGAAAAAACATCACTTAGCTTAAAGGATGTTTCCATTAAAAGAATATAATGACTAATTAATTTCCACAACAACCCGTCTTCAAACAGTTCTGCTAAGTTCTCTCAAACCTTTCCTTTCTCATTTATTGGCAAAACACGTTGGTACATTTCAATAACAGTGCTTTCTATTTATATAAAAGTTTACAATCCACAAAGTGCCCTGTATTTTTACTCTAGAAAATTTACTCCGTATTTGTAATGATGGAAAATATTTTTGCTGTATGGCTGGAAATTCTTTTTCTGATCCATCAGTAACAAAGATTGTCAATGGCATAATTAACCTATAGGAAAGTAAATTTGTTGTAAGCATTTTCGAGTCTTTAAATATAAGAAATTGATTTGAAAATTAAAGATCATTCCTCACAGGGATTTTTGCATGGCAACACTTTGTCATCCTAGATATAATAACAGCTGCTCTCTGAATTAGAATATCTTTTATATTTTTTAATTGTTCAGTTTTATTAATACATCATTTATTGTACTCTCTCCAAAAAGTTATGACTTACCACCATTTAACTCTATCTGATCATTTTTAACTGGGTATTTTTCTCCTTATCTTAGAGAAATGACCTTCTTTTCCCCTTAACCACTGTACTCGCCACACAGGTCAGCAGGGCACTGCTGTAGGGTCAAGACCACAAAGACATACAGTGTTGGGGAAGTGCTGTGTACTTTGGGGGGCAAGGTAGAGTTCCAGACGTGGTGCACTGGGCTCAGCGTCCCCTGACACCTTGAACCAAGATGAAGAAAAGTCCTCTAAGCGCTGAATTGGTGCCTAAGCCAAGGAAATCAGCCTCTGCAAAGCCTCGACTGTGGGTCACTAAAGGGGAAGGTCAGGGGGAGTGATTAGAAAGCCAGGTGCTGAGCACAACTCTGACGGGGGGTGAGCTGATGAGGCCCCCTTTCCGGGGCGCAGAGTCTGGAGCTCAATGCAAGAGCCCACTGGCATTCTGTCTGTATTTACTGCTGCAACCCCAAGACCGCCTTGCTGTTTGGATGGTGTTTGTACGGTGAGTTCCCTTCTGAATATATACATGGTTCCTCTCTAAGTAAATAAGAGCACAAGGCACAGAGGAATGTAACTCATGATGCACAGTGTATGTGCCAGGCTCTACAGGAATTAGAAGTCATGGCATGAGAGAAAATAAAATGTCTGAGAAGTGGTGTCTGTCCAGGGAAGTAGTTTTTTCAATCAGGGGTATTTAGAAGAACAGATTTTTTAAAAAATCTAAAAAATTAAATTTCTTTCTAGATAGCACAGTCTAGCCAGAACAGAGAAATACAAGTCTCTAGGTGTGCAAGTAGTCGGGAATCTAGTCCAAACAATACTTATTCTTACAATACTTCGGTGGGAAATTATTTTCCCTGATTTCTGGGTTTTCTGATGTGCATAAAACACCAGATGATTTGATCTATGAAACTATTCTGGTGTGGAAGTTCTTCTACTCTGTGTTTATAGCACAGAAAAAGCAGGCACTGAAAACTCATTGGTTGAGGATGATGGATTAAGAAGCAAGGCAGGTCTAGTATGATTTTCAGAATATCTGAATGTTGCTGGCGAAGTCCAGCATTTTGTCTCTAAGCACTAAAAGACGACTGGCTGGGAAACACATGTATTATTCTTTGTAGATTGTTAACCCCAAGACTGTTTCCCTTACCCGTTTGGGACTGCCTGACTATTCATCCCAATCATATCCTAAAATTAATTTCCTGAAGCGGGACAGATGAAACTACTGACCTAGATTCTGTATCTCGCCCACCAACTGCAGATATCTGTTCCTGGAAGAGACTAAGTTGTCTGAACAAAAGAGTAAGGTCTGGTAATTGTCCTAAGGTGATCTTCACTACTCAGCTGAACTGGTATTGTGACACTCCAACAGCCAAAATGCTTATCTCTCAAAAATAAATGAGAAGAATTACAAAATACAACTGAGTGAACTTCTTTGGAAGATTGAGGAAAGCACAATTAAATTTCAGCTCCTAGTGAGAAAGGAAAGCAAGTGAGTCCACTAAATGGTTGCTTCCTTTAGAAAGAGGAACCACAGTAAAGAGAAGCAATTTAAATGATTAACCAGAAACTTTTATTCATCTGCTTTTAATCTTTAAGCATGCAGTGTACCAGAACTTTACAAAAGTTATCATAATTGACCGCAGAAAACCTTGTGACAGGGCTGTCATCTTCCCCATCACCTGGATGAGGAAACAGGTTCAGAGAGATTCAGTAAACTGCCCCCAAACCTCCCAGATAAATAGTGGCTAAGCTGAATTAATAGTGGCTAAATACTGAACCCGAGACTGATTCCAAAATCCAAGCATTTTAAAGTGTGGAAAGAGTTTCCACTTTTTTGGCCAGTATGGTTTCCTGTCAGGACCCTGAACCAACTGTCTGGGAACAAATCAACATTGTTAGCATTTACCCAGTGGTATGCCCACCTTCCAGATGCTTACAGTGCTGCACTTCGTGGTTTAGACCTGTGACCTTCTGCAAAGAAAGTGCTGGGATGACAGGAGCTACCTCATTCTGATGTACGTAGGTAGTTATACCCTGACCCCCAGAAGCAACCCAGCCCAAATGATATTAGGATACAAAAGTTCCAACTCCTTGCTTCAAGTCTGGACAATTCTGTGGTGCCATTGACACTCCAGAGCCCACCATGGATCAGTGAAGGCTGCCGTTCACCCCAGAACACATCCTTGCTCACAACCTTCTCTCCTTAGCCTGCTGTTTCATTCCTTATAGTGTTGCTTATTTTTTTCCCTGAAGAGCACACCATCAGAAATTCGCATGCATGTGAATCTTGTCTAGAGAAACTGACCGACAACAGTTTGTAACACAAATAGACCTAGGAAGCAAACTCTAAGAATGAGAGTCTAGAATTGGGTCACTTACCAGCCAACTGGCAGTCAAGACCCCCTCACTGGAGATAAGTGGAGTGCTGGTGCTCTGGCTCATGGTCGCATCTCAACTATGAACATTTTCACCTAGTAAACTGTCCTGGGGCACAGATGGGAGGAAATGCCTTGCTTATGCAGTATCTCTGACCTTTGAGAGGTGCAGTGGAAATGGCAATAATAAGGGTTGTGAAACTGGGTGGCTAGGTATTGCTGATGCGGGTTCAGTGTCCCTTAGCTGAAAATGAAAGTTCGAGGCAATCAATCACAATGCGAATCCAAGTATGAAAGCCAGAAGCCCTCCTTCTTAGTATTTAAAGAAACCCCTATCTCAGGTAGCTGGAAGGCTGATCATGCTAAGAACCAGGTTCAGGATATAATCATGAAATAATAGTAGAACGTCAATAAAGGATGAATTCTTAGCCCTAGCAAGTCTCCTACTAAAAGTCAGTAGTGGAAGTCCTTATGGAAGGAGTGATGCCTTGAGACTTGGCAGGAGAATATCTGGATAGATGCACTGCAGAACCTTGAACCCCATATCCCTCCTAAATCACAAAAACCTGTATCATTGGCCCACTTCCCCTTGCCATAAGATAGTGCCCCCATTGCTTGAAGACCATGAAGAGGAGAGACATGTGGCAATTTACTTATAAAGCCACATTGCCTTCCTCAAGATGAGCCCCCAGGTACCCTCTAGGCATTAAACTAATAGCTGGAGTCAGTTTTCAGCATGAACTGTGGTTGTGCTGGGCCTGCTGAGAGAGAGGAAAGGAGTCATGTGAAGGATCTGTAGGGCCCGGCCAGTATCTGAGGAGTCCAGAGAGTATGCCTCGGAAAAGATTTCCTACAGCTGGATGAGGGAGAGTTTGTCAGGATGGGGACATTCTCCCCTAACACAGGATTTAACACCCTGGCGGGAACCCTGGGAATCCTTTCTTATATGCTTCTGGGATGCTTTTGTAAGCTGAGGAAAAATGATGGTCAACATGAAATGGTGTGGCGGTGGCATAACTGCCTCAGCAGACTAAGTAGGACGTGATCAAAGGCCCAGGAAAGTAGATATATTAGAATGATTTATCTTCTAAAACCAGAAGATCCACCAGCTATTTTCTTCACAAGAACTCTGGGCATGTACCATTAACAGAGCAATAAGAATACACCAGTGACAGGAACCAATATTATAAAGAAATTCAATAGTGGCTGGCCCTCCGTAGGCTGCATCTTATGGAAGGAGATGCTGTCATTGAACATGGCTACCTAGTAGCAGTAGGAATTACAGAACCCTGGGATAGCAGGGCTAAGTGACAGCACTTAATCTTCAGAAGCTGGTTGGATGAAAAATATAGGAGGGGCCAGGACTAGGATGATGCAAGAGATGTGCCTAGGATGCAAAATTAAAGAAGGCACTCATTCTCAGGGTTGTACAAGCACTGACCTTGACAGTGAGTGCCTCTTTAGAGTAAGGCATGTAGGCGAGCAAGATTGGGATGCAGCCAGAGAAGAGAACACCCTGACCTGTAGGAATCTATGAAGAGGGTTAATAAAATATGGTGCTCCTTAGGGTAACAGTCAGCCAACATGGGTATTGCTTGATATATAATCAACAGAGAACAAGAATGAATTATCCAAAGACTGAGGTCAACCACTCCAATAAAAAGTCATGATATCTTGCCCAATTATCTTGTCCTTCTTGGTAATTTTGTCACCAATCCACTGAAAGTGGAGACAGAACCCTATAAGGAAGTACCAAATAACTCTATAGCGAGTGTATATGGTAATTCTCCAGTCCTTCCCCAAAGGAACCATCAGTAAACCACTTAAGTAATTGTGCACTAGACCTATTAGAGACTTGTTGGATCTGAATGATCTCTGATACCTGGGAACAGAATATGTCACCATGAACCCAGGTAAAATAGGAATTACAGGGGCCAGAAAATAAAAGGATTTCTAGTTCAGGTTTACCTCACAGTGACCCACTGGGTTTACGGACCCACCTGGCTCTCAAGTGTTTAGCAGTTTGTAGAACCTTGACATTAGTTCTCTGACCTTTGGAATGAGAATTATCAAAGTAAGAAAACCCTTGTAAAAAAAAAATCTATAAATAATATCATTTAATGCTGAAACACTGAGTGCTTTTCTCTTAAGGTTAGTAACCAAATCAAAGGTATCTACTCTCATCATTCCTATTCAGCAATATATTGGAGGTCCTAGTTAGTGTAATAAGGCAAGAAAAATAAATAAAAGGCATATGGTTTCGAAAGGTAGAAACAACCTGTGTTTATTTGCAGATGACATAATTGTTTATTCCACAAATTCCAAAGAATTTATAGAAAACCTACAAGAACTTAATAAGGTCACAATACACATAGTCAATATATAAAAATGAATTATATTTCTATATACTAGCAATGGAAAATTGGAAATTGAAATTTAAAAAGTATTACTATCCCAAGGGCAATATGCTGAGTGACAAAAACTATTTTGAAAAGATCACACACCATATGATTCTACTTTGTAAAGCATTGCCAAAGTGACAAAATGGTAGAAATAGAGAACAGATTCATAGTTGCCAGTGTTAGGGATGGTGGGCCAGGGAAGAGGATTAAGTGTGAATATAAAATGGGTGTTTCAGGGAGTCTTTGTAGTGAAGGAGTAATCTGTATTTTGACTGCTGTGGTTGTTGCATGAGTCTACACTGTGATAAAATAACAAAAAATTACACACAGAGATGAAACCAACATAAATTTCCCGATATTACTGATATTATTATAGTTCTCAAATATGTAACATTTGGGAGAAACTAGGTAAAGGGTACATAGGAATTCTCTGTACTACATTTGCAACTTTCTATGAATCTATAATTATTTCAACATAAAAAGTTTTTTAAATGACAGAAGCTCTATATGGGGCATGGCAGTTGAAAACTCCAAAACATTCATCAAAGGAAACCTAATAGAGTAATATACCATGTTCATGGATTGGAAGGTTCAACATTATTAAGATATCAATTCTCCTCAAATTGATCCAGAAATTCAAAGCATTTCAATCCAAATTCCAACAGTTATTTTGCAGAAATTGATGAGCTATTTCTAAAACGTATGTGGATAAGCCAAGGACCTACAATAGCTAAAACAACTTTTCAAAAGAATGAAATGTTGAAAGACTCACATTTGTTGATTTCAAGACTTACTACAGCTACATGATCAATGCATTGTGTATTGGCATAGGAATGGACTTAAACCCCAATGGAAAAAATAAAGCTTAGAAATACACTAACACATATAGGGTTCATTAATCGTAGATGAAGATGCCAAAGTAATTGAGTGAAGAAAGTATTGCCTTTTCAACAAATTGTATCAGAACAACTGGACATCCACATGCAAAAAAAATAAACCTTGACTCTTACCTTTCATGAAGTGCAAAATAGCTCAAAATGGATCATAGATGTAAATGTAAATCTAGCTAATCTGGAGACGACTAGTTTAAGAGAGATAGTATTTATTCATTCTTCTTTGTATTCTAGGGTCTAATCTTTGTTACAAAATTAGATCGTTAGCACATATGTGCCTGGACCTCAGTAACTTAACTCCTTACAGAGCTATCAATGCTGACTCATGTTTTACTATATTATCTGTTTACTAAAGAGATGGTATATTTGGCATTTTGAAGAACACATGAACTGAAATTGAAGGCATTATCTATTATGTTGTTCACTGTTCCTTGTAAAATAATCCCTACAATAAATTTCTTTTCTATTTTCGTGACAGCAAAAAAAGCTTCCCCTAATGTTTCTTTTTCAGATTAAAAAACTGATTCATTATATTTCCCACTTCAGTTTTACTGAAAATAAATGCCCTCAAAATTACTAACATAAATTGAATTTTAGTAAATTTACTTCTATCTCTTACATGATTTTGATTTTTTGTTTTTATGTGAACAAGTTCAAATTATGTATATCTACTATAAACTGTTATATCCTAAAAAAATTTTTGAAATTGTTCAGTTTGTACTGGGTACTGAGATAAACATAAAAGAATGAAAAACTGCTTAAGAAACCTCTTCAGCACGAAAAGTTTTCGGTTACATTAATATGCATCATTTGTTAGGAACTTGTGCTTCCCTCACTACAAAATGGCAGCTCAATCTATATTCCCCATTCAAATATATTTTTCATTTGAAAGTCTCTGACTCACCAGTTCCTTCCCTCCAGGCTCTCTCAGTAAACCTGGAGAGAGAATAAATCATACACTTATATTTGTTTCCCTGTAGTCAGAGAACAATATTTAGCAACAGAAATTTTTAACTCATCTTTTGTTGGGCTATATTATTGCCAAATTAGCATCTCGTGTAACTTCATACACTCTTTATTTATGATATAATTATTCAACATATACTGTGGGCAAATCTCCAAGGGAACTAAAAGGATGAATTTGTCATGGAGGACGAAAAAACATTGTATTTCAAAGAAGGAGACTAATGCAGCTGCTCTACTCCTAGGGATGGGAGCAATCATTTCAAGAAAGAAAGTTAAACTCTCCCAGTGCTGACAGGGCGGAAGTGATGTTGCAGTGTAAATAGGCTGGGGGCTTTATTCGGGTTGGTCAGCAGCTCTGTCCAAAGAGGTCATCCAGAGATGAGACCCCTTCCTCTTTGGTGCTCCAACATCCTCTAGGGCGTTGTCTTCATCAGCGTGGTGGAAACTGGGCCAACAGCACAAATGTCAGCATTTCAGCCCTCATAGGGCAAAAGAGGAAGTAGAAGGTAAGCAGCTTCCTTTTTCAGAAAGTGAAAAGGAAGTCACACCCATTGAGAGGTTGCTCCGAGGCAGGCCCTCGCGGAGGAGCTGTGCGCCCTGCTGATATTTAAAAGGGTGACAGTAGTTCTATTACTTAAAGCAGGTCGGGGACAGTGGACCCTGGGACATGATTAGCAGCGTCTGCTATAGCTCCCAAGAAGGCAAAAAACAGCTCCCTGTCTAATCTCCCCATATACATAGAACTTAAATCAGCTTACGTGGGTCTCACCCTTAAATGTGAACATATAATCTAGAATCATCAACAGCAGAAGTTTGCAGAGAATAGAACTTCCAAGGAAACTATTACTAAGAGTCTGTGAGATTATGAATAGTCATTATATCCGTAAAGAACAGAAT